GTTATAATGTAGGGGTGCTTTAGGCCTCAGGAAACTGAATCTCTTTGTCCAGCCTTCCTCTGAACTCCTCTCACTTGCCCAGGGCAGGACTCTGACTATGGGTCATCAGACCCTCCTTCCAGAGGAGGCCCTGCCCCGTACCTGAGAGGAAGGAGAGCTGCACAGAGGGGCCACAAAGAATCCGGACAGACAGGCTTTGCTGGGTTGAGCTCACACCCTTATGGTCCAGTCTTATTTCGACACAGCTGTGCTTGCTTCAATCATGGAAAACCAGTGAAGCCTCCATACAAGGCCCGCAGGACACAGAGTGGGGAGCTTCTGGGTAGCTGAACAAGTGGAGGTTCTTGGAGGTTGGTACCCCCAGGGAGGACACGGAAGCTCACTCTACCCATCTTTGCATCTGTATCCCTTTTTTGTTTGTTTGGTTTTTTGAGACAGAGCCTCAAGCTGTCCCCCTGGGTAGAGTGCCATGGCATCAAAGCTCACAGCAACCTCCAACTCCTGGGCTCAAGCGAGTCTCCTCAGCCTCCCAAGTAGCTGGGACCACAGGCGCCCGCCACAACACCCGGCTGTTTTTTGGTTGCAGTCATCATTGTTGTTTGGCAGGCTGGGTTGGATTCGAACCCGCCACCTTAGGCGTATGTGGCTGGCGCCTTAGCCACTTGAGCCACAGGAGCCGAGCCCATCTGTATCCTTTGTAATGTTCTTTATGATAAATTGCTAATCGTGTTTCCCTAAGTTCTGTGAGCTGTCCCAGCAAATTTATCAAACCTAAAGAGAGGGCCATAGGAACCCCAACTTGAAGCTGATCCATCAGAAGTTTTCAGAGGTCCAGATTTGCAACTGATGACTAAAGGACAAGCCAGTTTGGGGGACTGAGCCCTCACCTGCATGTTCAGATCGTGTCTCCAGGTAGACAGTGTCAGAACTGAGGTAGAGGACACCAAGCTGGTGTCCACTGCAGAACTGATCACTTGTTTATTGGTGGGGAGAAAACCTCCACGTTTGATCACAGAAGTCTTCTGTGTTGATTGCCACTGTGTCAGATTAGACAGAAAAACATGGTTTGAGGTTTTTCCCAAACCGCCGGCATGGAAGGTCATTTGGATTCCAACTCCTGCTTGGCTGTCAACTCGCTGGGTGACTTTGCCTGAGCGGTCTTACATCTCCAAGCTCTAGTTTCACCATCTGGGAAGCGGGATGATGGTCCCTGTGGCCTAGCTGAGATCATATAAACACGGCCTTCCTTTCATTCATTCACCCTATTCACTCACAGCCCACCACGTGACACTCTGTTTGCAGCAAATGAACAAAGTTACTGCCCTTACAGTCTTGTTTTTACCTATGAAGCATTTTGCTCAAGGCTCTCACTATCCCTAGGAGTTATAGCCCACTGGTATCCCCCTCTCCCAGAAAAAAAAAAAATGTAAAGGTCTTTGGAATCAAGTTGCCCGAAGCACCTGACCTCCAGTCTGTCCCCCAAAACACTCTATGCCCCCTTTAAGGGCCCAGAATAGCACCTGGTGCAGAGGGGGACTCAAAATGTGGATTCCCTTTTCTCCAGCTCCCTTTGGACTTTATCTTAGAACTTTGGAGTACTATACTTTTTTTTTTTGCAGTTTTTGGCTGGGGCTGGGTTTGAATCCACCACCCCCAGTATATGGGACCGGTGCCCTACTCCTTGAGCCACAGGTGCTGCCCCTGGAGTACTATAATTTTTAGCTTTTATTGAAATATACTGTATAAACAGAGCATCCTTCTGTGCAGACATTTGGCACACTTTCACAAGCTGAACGTGCTTATTTACCCAGGACTCAGATGAAGAAAATCAGAACCACCCCAGCTGCCCGAATGCCCCTCATGCTCCCTTCTTGTTCTGTCCCAGCAAGGGAAAGGTGATCCCAACCTCTAACACTGGATTAGTGCGGTCTGTTAATGAACTTGGCATGAGGGGAATTATGTAATCCTCGTGTGTGCCTGTCTTGCTCAGCATTCCGTCTGTGAGCGTCATGGTGGTGTCGCGTGTCCTCACAGAGCCTGTGTTCTCGGGGCTGCACACACCGTCCCTTTTCCATCACTTCTTTTGATGGGTCTCTTTGGGCTTTCCCTCTTGAAAGAGAACACAGGGCTTCACGGACTCTCGTGCGCGTGTCTCTGTGCCACTGTCCAGGCCGATCGGGGAGCCAAGTGGGGAGCTGAGAGAGAGTATGTTCTGATCCAGTCCCAGGCTCAAGGTAAACGTGCCTCTAAGAGGCTCTGGTTTGGCCCTCCGCCCTCCACCCTCCACCCCTCCTTCTCGGACTCTGTAATGTTCTGTTATTTTGGGCTTGGCTTGAGGCTGAGGGGTGAGCTGGCAGGCATCCCAGGCAAACAAGAGCAGCTGGGGAGGAGAAGGGCTTTTAGGAGTGGGAGGATGGGTCTAATTTGAGCCCCTCTCCATCAGAGCTGCCAGGGCTTGTGTGGAGGGGAGCCCCTGCCCCCAGAGCACTGGAATGTGGAGGGAGGGGAGGGTGCAGGTAGGAATCTGGCTTTCTCTGGGCTGAGCCCTATGCTGGGGTCCCAGTGCTACAAATTACCAGCTGTATGACTTTGGGGAAATCTATGCTTTGGTTTTCAAATCTCTAAAATGGAGTGAATAACCTGATAGGGTTGTCTGAGGAGTAAATAACTCAATGCATATAAAGAGTTCTGAGCTGTAGGAATGTGGGTTATGCTGATGATGGTAGAGTCAGGAGTAGTGAGTACTTTATGTGGACTCCTGCACTGACCCAGCACATCGGCTGTGGAAGCAGACGCCATAACATTCCATTAGGCAGTTAAGGAAGCTGAGGCACAGAGAGGCTGAGAACCTGCCCAAAGCTACATTGTGAATCTCCGGCAGAGCCAGCCTTGATCTGGAGCCCCAGCCCCTGACACCAGCCTCGAGCTGAGTTCAGATGGGAGCCCAGTGGCACTAAGTGGCCGTAGAGCAGCGCTCAGCCCTCATATTGTGCTTGGGGAGCAGGACCTCAAGCTCATTTTCTCTATCTGTAGAATGGACCTATGTGACCAGCAGGGTCAGTGTCCTTCTCTTTCCTGGGCTCCTGGCAGTGGGCAGGCTTGGAGACTGGTCAGAGAGGCCTCCACATCTGCCTAGTCCTTGGCAGTTCTGGTTCTTTGGGGGAGGTAGTCAGGCCCTGCAGTCAGAGTTGGCAGTCCTGAGTCTGCTCAGTGACCCCCTTTTTGAGGAGTGTTCCCTGATCCTGCCCTTGGGGTGCTCTAGAACATAGGGTAGGCACACAAATAGCTGTTCCTAACCCAAGCCTGCTGAATATTGTAAAGAGCTTTCTACAATATGCTGAGGTGATCCATAGGTCAAAGTACTTGGCTGCAATCCTGGAAGGCTTCACAAAGGAAGCCGATTTGCAGCAGGGTTTTGCAGGATGAGTAAGAGTTCCTCCAGCAGAGAGGATGGTAAGGCTGTTCTTAGCAGAGGGAATGTACAAGGTACCAGCTACTCCAATCCTGCCCTTGCTTGCCATCTCTGTTTTTTGGGGTGTCTGGAAAGCTGGAAAATGACATTTTCCAGAGCTCCTTGTCAGGTAGTTTCTGGTTAGGATCTGCCAGTGGGGAGAAGGCAGGAGGACGGGAGATGCCAGCGTGCTTCTGCCCCTGGCCACACCTGACTCCTGCAGGCTCTGTAGTTTCCAGCAGCTTCATGGGTTCCAGGGCAGCTGGGTGGTGAGTGCCGGCTTGCGGGCTTCACAGCTGCTTCCCGATTTCTCAGTCAAACCCCTCTCCCATCTGGTCCTTCTACCCTTTGGTTGCCTCTGGAATCAATTTCTCTTATGAACTTCCTCTCTGCCTGAAATACCGGAGTGGTTTCTGTTTTCCAGCTAGTCACTAACTGATACAATAGTCGAGCCACCCTGGGTGTAATGTTCAAGGAACAGAAGGATTCAAGGCTCAGAAAATGTGATGTCATGTTTTTTTATATTTTTGTGTACATGGCATGTCTTTCACCCTGAATTCCCTGAGGGTGGGGCCTGTCTCCATCACCTGTTAATTTAAGAGAAAATCATGAGTACCTCACTGGTGGGAACTGAGATGAGTGAACAGGTCCCCACACCCATGCGGGCACAGTCTAGGCCTGCCCTGGCCAGCGTGGTGGCCACTGGACCCTTGGCTATAGAGTATGTGAAATGCAGCCAGCCCAAACTGAGGCAGGCTGTCAGTGTAAACTATACCCTTGCATTTCAAAGACTGAGTGTGAAAATAAGAATTTAAAATACCTCACTAATGATTTTTATATTGATTATGTGTTGAAATAACAATGTTTGGGATATATTGGGTTAAACAAAATACATCATTAAAATGAAATCGATTTGTTTCTTTTTACTCTTTCTAATGTGACCACTAAAAAATTTTAAATTACATAAATAAATGGCTTGCATTTGTGCCTCATGCTATATTTCTATTGGATGGCACTGTTCTTGTAGGAGCTGAGTGAAGCTCATTGATTTACCAATTCATCATTTATTGGCATCTATTTGGGAGATACTGAGTCTCTGCTCTTGAAGATTTCAGATAGGATGGGAAGGAGGCAGATATGCCAACATGGAGGTAGACTTCACTGTGATAAATGTTTGAGTTAGTCCATATTTCAGGACTCTGGGGGCCTGAGAAGAAATCAGGGAAGGCTTCAGGGAAGAGGTGACTTTGGTGATAAGTATGGTAGGATGAGTAGGAGTTTGCTAAACAAGTAAGCAAGAGGAAGGGTACCCAAGGAGCTACACATGCAAAAGCTAAGAAGTAGACAACTGTGCTGGGTGTTGAGGGGGTACCAAATTTCCTTATGGCCCAAACACAGATTGTTGGTAGAGGGAGCTTGAGAGAGCTGAACTGTGAAGACTTGAATATAACGTTTAAACCTGGGGGAAGGGCTGAGGCTAAGGAAAGGCTCTTAGGTAGGAGATGGCTAGTCCCCCTCCAAAGCTTGTAAAGGACCAGACCAGACTTCGTTTGAATGTGCAAAATAAACTCTTTTATTTCAGTGCTTGCTCCTTGCGGTTTAGAAATGCATCTACAATCTGCTTGGAACCCAAAAGATTTTATAAAACCATAGAGAAATAGAGCTGAATTTATATAGAAAATATATATGTTGGCTCATTTTGTGACTTTTCCCTGTGCAAAGCAGAAAAAGAATTCTAAGTGTATCAGTATGATTTTCCCCAAGTCCCTCTTTGGCATTTTGGGGCCCCTGGAGGCTGTGACTTCACCCCAGTAGAGAATCCTCCCCTTCCAGCCTGAGGGAGGATCAGTCATGTAGAGAGAGCAGGGGATAAAGTTGGAGGTGACAATTTTCCAAGCTTATTTAGGACAAGGGCTGTGTTTGGGTGCCCTGGCCCTATAAGGAGGGGGTGACTGAGATGTGACCTTGTTGGTCAGTGACTGGCATGGGCAGCTAAGGCTCTCGTGAAGCCTAGGCATAGTGGTGGGTAGGCTCATGGGTGGGACAGAGGTATTCAGGGCTCTTATGTCCTGGAACTGGGATCTGGAGGGAGGGACCTAGGCACAGGTGGGGGACCAGGACAGAACTGGGGTCTGGATGGTGGTCCCGGTCATGATTTAACTCTCGCTGGACCACATAGCAGCACAGAAGTGCAGAGCTGAGCGGATCCTAGAGATGAGCTGGTTTAATCACTCCTCTGACCCATGAGGAAACTGAGGCCCAGAGTGGGGAATACCGTAGTTGGCCAGACTTAAGGCTTAAACCTGCAAGCCCTCCTCACCTCGACTGGGGCCTTTTTGGTCGGGTCCCAAATGGCCTCTCTGACATTGGCCAGTCAGGCTGAGACCTGACAAAGCACTGAACTCAGAGTCAGAGGCTTGGGCTATGCTCCTGGGCCTTGCAAAGAACCACGAGCCCACTTGTGTGGGTGGGGAACCATTGGGCTGGGGTGTTCCCACCTGCTCCGGCTCTCCCAAGGGCCCCTGGGGCCTGGGTGCAGTCAGGGGAAGGGGTCCTGGGCACACTGGCCCTTTTGTGCCTGCTCCGAGGGACTATGGAGTAGATCAAACAGCATGGCAAGAGGTCAGTGGCTTTCCAAACAGCATTGGGCTGGAGAAGGAGCTGTGCGTCCCTCCTCTCACCCCAGCCCCAGTCAGCCAAGGTCAGGCTCCCACTGTAGTGGCCCAGAACATTCTTCACAGCTAGGGGTGGGTAGGTGGGGAACCAGGCTCATGGGCCAAGAAGGTCCAGAAGTATATTCCATGCCAAAGAGCCACCACGAGGCAGCCCACCTGCCCTGGGATCTGGGGCCCAAGAAGGGGCAAATTGTGCTCATTAGCTTGGGATAAAGGTTGGGTCAAGGTGGGGGCTCACAGCAGGCTGAGGTGGGGCTGGGCGCAGGATCCCTTTACGGGGGCCCAACGATGACGTTCCGGTAGCCCTTCACGGCCCTCAGCTTGTCGCTCTCGAAGTTCACTACCAGTTTGTAGAGGCCCACCTGGCTCGGCAGAAGGTCCACCCTGGTCTTGGCTTCTTCCCCTGGACCCACGGGGTTTGGGCTGCAGCAAGAGACAGAGGGTGAGACTGGGGTCTGGCTGGGATGAGATGTGACTACCGAGGACTGATGAGGACCCAGCACAGAGGTTCCATGAATTTACAGCTAATGCCACCAGTAACCAAGTCAGCCCCACTCACAGTCCTCTGTGGGGCTTGGACAGCCTGCTCTCCTAGAGTATAGCATGTGAGAAAGAGAGAGAAAGAGAGAGAGAGAAGTATGTGCATGCCTGTGTGTGTGGAATTAGATGGTGCACTCAGGGGTTAAGAGTGGGTAATGGGCTGAGCACAGTGGCTCATGCCTATAATTCCTACACTCTAAGAATTGCTTGAGGCCAGGAGTTTGAGACCATCCTGAGCAACATAGCAAGATCTCAACTCTACAAAAAGTAGAAAAAACTAGCCAGGTATTGTGTCAGGCACCTGTAGTCTCAGCTATTTGGGAGGCTGAGGTGAGAGGGTTGCTTAAGCCCAGAAGTTCGCAGCTACAGTGAGCTCTGATTGTGCCAATGCACTCCAGCTGGGTTGACAGAATGAGATAACTATCTCTTTTTTTTTTTTTTTTTTGAGACAGAA